ATGCTGCAACTGTCTGACCAATGTGGGGATGTGACACTGCTGAGGTTAAACACATTTCCCATTTCCCCCTCTGCTCAGGGGAGATCTCTCACCTGCAGTGCTGTCTCCTGGTCTGAGACCCTCAGCATAAGGACATGGAAGTCCAGAGGAGGCCACGGAGAGGCTCCAAGGGTTGGAGCACCTCTGCTCTGGTGCCAAGCTGGGAGAGCTGGGGGTGCTCAGCAGGGAGATGAGAAGGCTCCAGGGAGACCTTAGAGTGGTGAGATGGCAACAGCACATGTGCCCATCTATCCTTAGAAACCTTCCCAAAATAGTAGGGCTGGTCTCCAGCTCAGAACAATATCCCAGGCTTTGGCAGCCCCTCAGCCACACACCCAAAGAGGCTTCACCTCCAGCTCCTCTGCACAAGCTGCATGGCACAGCCAGCACTGAGATCCCATGCTGACTGCTTCTGGGGACAGGGATCAGACCAAGGCACATGTTCTCTTCCAGACCAGTTACCCCAGATAAGTTGATTTCACTCCTCTCTTCCCCTGTAGCTCTGCCCAAGCCTGTGGCAGGTGCTATTCCCTGCCAAAACCACCACTGCACCACAGCCAAATCCAAACAGCAGGGTGGGAAGCACAGCCAGGCCTGAACATGGAGCACAACAAGCGCTGCAGGGAGAGCCACAAATGCAGAGGAAGGTGCCAAGGCCTGTTCTGGCTCAGCATCCAGTTACCTTACACACGCACAGATGGCAACGTGACGCATTCCTTCGGGAAGAGCCTGAGCTGCTGCTTCCCAAAGGCAGACCCAAGGCTGCCTGCCAGGTTCAATTGTCCCTCTCTGTCTCCTGGGCCAGTGCCCTGGGCTGGCTGCAGGCAGTGGCTGAGGGTCCTGCTGTACATGGCACTCTGTTACCTGCCCAGCTCTTGGGAAAGAGGCTTGAAGGATTTTTATGCTGCCTAAAGTGCAGATCCATGAACACAGAACCATAGGAGGGTTTGGGTGGGAAGAGACCACCTAGTTCCACTCCCTGCCATGGGCAGGGACACCTTCCACTAGACCAGGCTGCTCCAACATCCCCAGGGATGGAGAAGCCACAGCTTCTCTGGGCAACCAGTGCCAGTGCCTCAGCACCCTCACAGGGAACAATTCCTTCCCAATATCCCATCTAATTCACCTTGGTCCTTGAGGTGTTACACTGAGCACCCAAAGCACTGCAGGACAGCAACCACATCCACCAGAAGACACAGCAAAGCTCAGTGGTGTTGGAAATGTTTGTCCTTCCTGGCTCATACTCCTGAATTCACAGACTGTGGGAAGGTGTAACCCACAGCCCACCCAGCCCTGAGACAGCCCAGAGAAGGCAGAGCAGCATGTGCACACACAGTCTGGGCTTTGTGCTGGGATATCATCCCTGGAGAGCAAAGGCATTCCATCAGAAAGTGTTTTATTCTCTTTGGCTGCACTTTCATCAGACCTGGGCCATGTCTTATTGATCCACATGGGAAGAGCAAGACTGACCAGCTCAGACTGATCCCCATCCATCCAACCCCTCAGGAACAGGAGGGGTGGGAGCAGCATGGCACAGGAATCTGAGCCATCACTCCAATCCAGTGCTGACACCCACAGTCACTGTGGGAGTGCTGCTGGGCTGGCACCAGCTCACACAAGGCAGATGTGCAAGCAGAGCCCTCTCTAACCATCCCCTCAAAGCTACTTCAGTGTCACTGCTGTCCCCAGGGGGCTGCAGCAATGTCACACGCCAGGTCCCAATAACAGCTGATGAGAGAACACCTTATCTAGTCACACTGCAGGAGCCAAGGACAACAAAAGGCTCCAGAGTTTGTACAGACACGGTGACAATAGGTGACAACACTGCCCATTTGCTCACAGGCTCTTACCTTGACTAACAACCAAGGTTCAGTCCCAACAGCTGCTGGCAAAGGGAAGGATTTATTGCCACACCAGGGATGGGGAAATAGCAGACTCTAATCCTGAGGAGGGCCTGGAGAAGAAGCCAGAGCATGGCTCCCAGCTGTGCAGCACACACCCCCTGGTTTGTTGGGATCTGCCTGAGCTGGAGCACAGCCTGAAGCCCTGGGGCAGGCCTGGCCAGGCTGCACTCTCAGTTTCAACCTGAGCAGGTCCTACAAGCAAAGACATTGCTCACCCAGACCCAGACACAGAGGGACAGCAGGAGATCACTCCATCAGGGGTCTGTGCTACCAGTGTCATTCCACAAAGGGCTGAGACACCCAGTCACAGACTCCTAGAGTAGCCTGAGTTGGAAGGGGACCACTGAGTCCAACTCCTGCACAGGACACCCCAACAATCCCACCACGTGCCTGAGAGCATTGTCCAAATGCTCCTTCAGCTCTGGCAGACTTGGGGCTGTGACCACTGCCCTGGGGAGCCTGTAATCAAATCCTGGCCTTGACACACACACACAGAGCTCTCACTGATCACACACCTCAACAGCCCCACACAGCTCATGGAGTGGCACTCTGCTGGTTGAATTCCCCTCTCCATGATGGCAACTGTCACACACTGGATGCAACCCCAGCCAACAGCCCAGTGGGATTTCCATCTGCCTGCGTCTCCAAGGCAAATGTCTGACTTGCCTTAGAAATGAGGAGTTAGAGCAGCCCACTGCCTTCCCAGCAGGATCTGCTCAAGGCACAGCACAGCCAGCTCCAATGATGGATGATGCATCACTTATTACACTCCTCTGCCCCTCAAACAGCCTTGAGTGTCAACATTTACAAACCAAACATGAGGTTTTCCTGTTGTCAGCCTTAGAAAGCCATGAAGGTTACAGAGGAAAGCTACATCCTACTCTATCTCCCCCAGGAAAGGGGATAACAATCAGGTAGTTGAGCTGGTTATAGCCTGACACCTTCATCCTACCTCTCATTCACCTGACAGAGCTCAGCACCATGGAAAACAGGAGACATGCAAATACAAGTGATTCTTTGTCAGAGCAGGAAAGACCTTTTGTTCTACAGATCAAAATTTAATGGAGCAAACTCAAATACCATAGAACCCTAAACAAGGCAAACACATCACTGCTGGAACCAAGCAGGGATGGACACAGCTGTGCCTGGTCAGCCCTTGCAATGCAGACTTTGCCCCCCAAAATGCAGTAGCAGAAGGATCACATCACTGCTGGAACCAAGCAAGGATGGACACAGCTGTGCCTGGTCAGTCCCTGCAATGCAGACTCTGCCCCCCAAAATGCAGTAGCAGAAGGACCAGTGTCCCCTGACCCACACTGAGCACACATGTCTGGGCAGTAGGAAGCTCTGCTTTCCTCCCCAAACCCTCCACACTGAGCACACACGTCTGGGCAGCAGGAAGCTCTGCTTTCCTCCCCAAACCCAAGCACAGATGTTGCTGCTGCATGTCAGTCACCTCAATGCTTACCCAGAAGGATGTGAAGTCACAGAGAATACATAAGAGCAAGATGCAATTCCCCAGGTACAGCTGCAAGCCAGAGCATTTCTTAATGTCAGGGAACACAAACACAGTGTGGCCACACACTTCACATCAGGAGATGAATTGCATACAATCCTACAATAGTTTGGGTTGGAAGGATCTTAAGGCTCATCTCATTCCACCCCTGTCACAGGCAGGGACACCTTCCACTAGCCCAGGTTGCTCCAAGCCCTGCCCAACACTTATTTCCATGTCAGAGCAACCAGACTGGGGCAAGGAGGACAAGAAGAGAGCCAGAGCCTTCCCTCTCCAGTGGGTTTACACAGGCAAGGTGGTCTGAGCTGTCAGATATCCACAGGCACACTGCTACTCCCCAGCATCTTTCCAGGCACCTTTTAAAACTGATGCAATCAATTGCAAAGGAAGAATCTCTTCTTGCTCAAACATCCCATTTAATTGCCTGAATAAAGCAGCCCAATTCCCATAAACATTTATAATTACTCTCCCACTGAGACTTTTGTCCCACAGGGCAAAACTCATGCAGGAAACAGAATGGTAAAAAGCTGAGAACACACATGAATATTTAGAGCAAAGAGTGAGGCAGAGCAGGCTGGGAGGAATCCCAGTGGCATTCCATGTGAGGATCACTGGGCTGACAGCAGGGACTGGAACTGGACTTGCTGCCTTTGGAGCACAAGCAAAATAACATAAGTCCTTTCAAGTCATTAGGAAGGAAGATAATTTTCCTGGTCTTCACCCAGGGACTCTTTATCCTCCCCCATCACTACAAGAGAGATGTGTTTCATTACTTTGGTTACCTTAAGTCACCACTCAGGCAATAAGTGTCAGCACCAGAAAATGAGTGCCACATGACTCTTTAGAAAAGGAAGGACCTCCACTTTAATGATTCAAAATCTTCACTGCTGCAGAGTTAATAAAGCCTTTGCAGAGTCCTCTGTCACCCCGTGCAAGTGTAATGCCAAGGACTGAAAACCTGT